TCTTCTTCTATTTCTTCTTCTTCTTCTTCTTCTTCTTCTTCTTCTTCTTCTTCTTCTTCTTCTTCTTCTTCTTCTTCTTCTCCTTCTTCTTCTCCTTCTTTTTCTTCCTCTTCTTCTTCTTCTTCTTCTTCTTCTTCTTCTTGATGTTGTCGTTATTATTTTTCTTGTCGTTTTTCTTGTCGTCGTTTATTATCACTATTGTTGTTGCTATTGCAGCCATGTTCTCTGACGTCATCACAGTAAGGCACAGTACAGTAAGTATAACATGCAGGCAAACCTTACCCCCCCCCCTCTCCACAAACACACACGACACACCAAACCAAAACCTCCCACCCCCCCCCAAAAAAAAAAAAAAAATACACAGAAAAACTACACGGAAAGATTAAAACCTAGAATACAACAACTGAACAGTTTAGTCAGCTCAACTGACCGAGGACGCATCTTCTGGTTATAATTTGACAACACTCAATCAAAGACGCTGTTGGGGTTTTTTTTTATTTTATTTATTCTTTTTTTTGGGGGGGGGGTGAAGGGGCATAAGAAATCAATTCTTTTCTTTATTAGAAACATAAAACGACATGAGGTAACGTGAATACTACAAAATGTACAAAATCGTATTTCTGATTTGTGTACGTTGGTTCGGAATGAGTTAAACAACGTTGTCTTCTAGTATGTTGTTCACACATACACACACACACACACACACACACACACACACACACACACACACACACACACACACACATGCACACACACACACAATTACACACACATGCACACGCACACACACACACACACACACACACACATACACACACACGGACATGCACACACACGCAGGCTTACAATCACATGCATAATATGAATGACCAGCTATATAGACAATAGTAATCTTGAGCTAGATACATACTCAGTGTTATTCTGATGCATGCTCGAAGGTCATTTGAATATCTATACAAGATGGTTAAGATGAAAGAATTTTGATGGATGATGGTAGAAATAACTTTCTGTATCTTTCTTTGTTACAGATCAGATGCCAAGGTCTTTTACTTCTAACTGATGTTTTTATTTGAGGGAACAAGGGATGTTTGTTGTCCAAAAAGATGGAATTAATTTTTTTTAGTGCCAGCTGTTATGTACAATTCATCCAAGTAGGGGAATCTAGATGTTGAAATGTTACATGCTTTCCGTATTAGTTGATTTAATTGTTCTTTATCTTGTTGTCTTGTGTTCCCGGCCCATGCTGTTATACAAAAAGTGATCATACTTTCTATGGTTGAATGATAGAAAATGGACATCAATGTTTTACCAACTTTAAAATACATGAGCTTAATTAGAAAAAAATAGTCTTTTCTTCATTTTTATGCAGGGGAGAAGTGTGGACACGCCAATTGAGTTCGTTTTCTATTGTAACACCCAAATACTTATAATCTGACACTTGCTCGATGTTATCACATTTATTTTCGAGTGGCTGCATGGTGAATTTCTTTTTTCTAAAACCAACAACAAGTTCTGTGACTTTTTTTTCACATTTAAAAGCAGTCTATGATAATATATGTGAGACATTTATAGTGAATGAAATCAGCTGCTCATCAGTTTTTGGGCATGTGGAGTTATTGGTGTCATTGTAAAGCTTCTTTGTCTGACAGTTGTTGTTGTTTTTTGTTTTTTTTGTGTGTTTTTTTGGGGGGGGGGGTCTTTCTTGAAAAGAATTGAGATCTGTCCAGTTGAGGAAGGTGGGGGTCGCCTAGTGTCAGAGGTGAAATTAGAGAGAAAATGCCGCCAAAGTTTGGTGACTTCCACAGCTTGAGAGTCCTTGGAAATTGAAAATGTATCTTTTGTGCGTTTAATCTATGTTTCTCAGTGGAATCCACAAAGAACAAAGAAATGTGCTTTTAATGGACATGGTGTTAGGCCCAAAAACCAAAAAGCAACCCCCCCCCCCCCCCTTAAAAAAACAACCTTGACAAACCAGCAGAAAAATGCAGTTTCTTCGATTTCATTACTTTGACGAGCGCTTGATTTCGCTGCGTTGACATACATATTATGTGTCGGCTACGTACTTTAAGAGTTAACAAAAGTTTGTCGTTCATTCGTACACATTCAGTAGAATTGACAACTTAGTCTGCCGAATAAGTCTTCTTTGTTTTATTATTAATTCTGCTTTCCCCTATTGTTATTCTTCAGATTTGGGGGGTTGGGGGGGTTGAGAGAGAGAGAGAGAGAGAGAGAGAGAGAGAGAGAGAGAGAGAGAGAGAGAGAGAGAGAGAGAGAGAGAGAGAGAGACAGACAGACAGACAGACAGACAGACAGACAGACAGACAGACAGACAGACAGACAGACAGAAAGACAGAAAGACAGACAGACAGACAGACAGACAGACAGACAGACAGAGAAGTGCGTGGCCAGCTCGTTTGTTTCTGTAAGCCCAATACAATATGTTGGTTTGTAGGTGGGTGGGCGGGCGGGTCAGGGAAGAGTTGGTTATCTTTCCTCAGGTCTGTATGAAGTGACAACATTAATTAGTACCCGTAGCAATATAGAAGACAATAGCAAAGGGAACAACAACACTCATGGTACACACAATGAAGAACCCAAGCTTAAAAGACATGCGGGAGAAGCGGCGGGAGTCTTCCGCGAGGGTCTGTGCTGCCTCTTGGTCTTTGCGGAGCTGGGCATCCCGGGACTGTGGAAGGAAATACATAAAGTAAAGTTCCCGCATCTCTTCCGGACGTTGAGGATTGCCTTGTTAGTGAAACAACTTCCTGGGCCGTCGGCATATTGTGGTAGGGTAGCCAGTTCCTTTCCAAGCCGCCTTTACTTCCCCAACTCGAAGTCAGGTACTCATTACTACTGGAGGAGGTACATACATACACATAAATACTCAAACATACGTACACACACAGGCAGACTGACTTACTGACAGTCAGATTTACTAACTGGCAGACAGATAGATAGAAAGATTTTCATGAAAGGTCTAGAAAAAAGGTGTGTCATAAAAGCTACGAACATACATTGAACCCATCCAGGACCCTCTACAATTTGCATACCGTCGTGAAATAGGCGTGGAAAACGCCATTCTACTATTCTATTCTCGACAACATTAATAGATACTTAGACAAACCAAAAAACATACTGTGGGATCCTGTGTGTTGAATTTTCGTCAGCCTTTAATTCTATCCAGCCAGTTATCCTTTTAAAGAAATTAGAAAACAGCTGTGTAAACATCAATTTAACACTACGGACGGGGAATTTTCTGACCAACCGAAGTCAGAATATAAAACTGAAACATTCCTCATCGACACACATGACAACAAATACAGGAAGGATGTGTTTCGTCGCCAGATTTGTGTACACTATACACAACGATTGACAAATTAAACACAATAACATCAATTTATTGATTACATTTGTGGACGGTTCGACCATTAATTGAGCTCTTTTGGGCTGACTATGACGAAACTGCTTATCGGAATTTTACATTCAATTTTTCTGGATGGTGTGAAACTCGCAAGCAATCCATAAATGTGAAAAAACCTTGTAGTTGACTTTAGAGAATGGACATTACTCCTGCAGCCACTCCAAATTAGAAGTGGAAACGTCGAGCAAGTGTCAGATTATAAGTATTTGGGTGTCACCATAGACAATAAACTCGACTGGCATGTCCACACCTCTCTCCAACTTTAAAAAGTGAACAAAAGACTTTTACTGAGGATGCTCGTCGCTAGCCCCGTGATTCAACCGCCTGAGTGACAACATTTTCGAAAATCACATTTTGATCCCTTTATGTACATTGTAGTACAGCCTTTGATACACCCTATGTTAAAATCGCGAATTTGAAAGATTATTGCAAAGTGTTTTAATTCTTCAGTAAATCAATCGCCTTTATCACACCAGCCCCCAATTTCCACGTGATCCAACCGCCCAAGTGCCAGTTATGCAGCCCGATGGCGAATGTGCGGTTGAATCACGAAGATTCAGTGGCTTGTTGAGGTGTCGAATAGGCAGCGTGACCCACACGATTGTGGCCTCTGCCAAGTTCATTATATATATACAGAGATGGCTGTACTTATCAGACCACAACCGTATCTAGCGTAACACTATTACTGTATAAATTTCCATGGACTCTCCGGCTTTGGAATTTACCAAGCTTTGGCGGTATCGATGAGCATCTCTTTACTGAAACAAACGAATGAATAAACAAACGAACTAACAGACAAGCAAACAAATGAACGAAAAAAAAAACGAACTTACGTTTGTTTTGTTTAAGTAGAGGTTTTACGGCACTCGCAACTGCATGAGGTCTTATGAGCGCCAAAAGATTAGAGGTGTTACAAGAGAGTAACAAACATAATAAAGAAAGAGGGGAGATAAGGAAGATAGATGTTTGATAGGAAAGAAGAAGCAAACCACACCAGAGCACCCACCAACCACCTACAAACGAACTTACAAACAAACAAGCGAACGAATAAACAGACTGACAAGACTAACCTTCACAGCTTTTATCATGGCCGCAATACCCAGGGGAAAGAAACAGAAAATGGCAACTATGGCCAGGGGCAGTGGGTGTGTCTCTGTCTCATGTTGAGTGGCAACTACGGTCAAGGTCACTGGGTCGGCCTCTTGTTGAGTGGCAACTACGGTCAAGGTCACTGGGTCGGCCTCTTGTTGAGTGGCAACTACGGTCAAGGTCACTGGGTCGGCCTCTTGTTGAGTGGCAACTACGGTCATGAACAGTGACTCTGCATCTGCCTCTTGTTGAGTGACCCTTGTTCTGAGGTGTGGGGTCACTGCCACCTGATGAGAAGTGTCCACAAAGGGAACAACACACGTGACGTATACCAAGCTCACAATGCAAACAATTGTTTTGCCCAGTACCCTTTTGATATGGTTTGAAACATCTAAAGGCGGTAAGATTTTCCTTGTCAGAGGGTCAAAGACTGTCATTTTGGCATAAATTGGTCAAATCTTAAAATAAATCAAACATGTTTCTTTTCTAGGTAACAATCGGGCCTACTAAAAATATATCGATGCTAACAGTCAATCACAAGACTACTACTTGTCACATGACATTTCGGGGTCAGATTTGTTGCACCCGTAGAGCTACAGGTCATAACGGACTTCCAGGTGAAATTAGATGAAACAAATAGGGGATCTCTTTTCGTGAGCTCAGGGTGAAATCAAGCGCTTCTCAAAATGTTGAAATCAAAGAAAGTCTCTTTTGTTTCTTAAAACTACTCAAAGTGTAGTAGTAGTAGTATAGGGTTTTACGGCGCTCGTAACTGCTAAGGTCATATGAGCGCGCGAACTCAAAGTGCAATTTTACCATTCTTATTGTTATGAGAAACTCTAATAATTTGACGTTTTGAAAGAGCTTCATCGCTTGAACATTTGCTGAAGGCCATTTTCAAGGATAGAGTTATGCTTCTGAACAGCCCACTGAACTAAACCGCTCTCTTTTGAGTGATTTCAGATCGTTGGCCAAGCATGTTTTGTGCTTTAAAAAGCTGTGAACTGATTAATTGAAGATCTTCTGGAGAAAAAAATGTATCCGTCTTCTATCAGAATTTAGAAAAAGCGATTCATATGTGTCTATGGTCACTTTTGTTTTCTTTGAGTTACACAAGTAACCACTCCCCCTATCTCCCACCCCGTTAAAAAAAACAAGTAAACAGACACTAAACACACGTGGCGACTGCGTTCTCTTACCACTTTTTATTTATCTTAACGTTTTGCACATCGCTGCCCTTTTTCCTCTTTCCCAAACCTTAGCAAACCAATTGGCGAAAAAAGATTGTGATCAAGAAGTTATATTTATCACAAATATCCTCTTTGGTTGTGAATAAAACTCTAATAGACAAATAACTGAAATAGAGATTTTTTTTAAAAGAAACAACAAAAACTATTTGGTGCCTGTGGTACTTCTTGTACAAATTATGAGGCAGAGGCCATCACCGTTGAAGCAGCAATCCTCCACCTGACTAACATTTTCATTATATGTCCAGACAAAATCAAGGATACTGTTATCTTCACAGACGGAAAATCAGTAATCCAAGCTTTGGAAAACATGAATTTTGAAAGCCCAGTCAGCCTACCTGTGGCTTTAACAATCAACACCTTCATGCAGACCTACGCCGTCGACCTGACCTTTCAGAGAATACCTGGCCACAGCAACATTCCAGGAAATGACAGAGCAGACACCCTTGCCAAGTAGGGAGCATTATAAACACAACCCCAAAAGCCAGTCTCACTATAGACAGGCAAGTAAATCTTCAAATGCAACACCAGGAAACAGTGGCTGAATGGGTGGGCAATGAGCAAAACTGGAAGAACTGTATTGGCACACATGACTGCTCCAAACTCAAAAGATGCATTAAATTCCCTGAGTAGAAGAGAACAAGTCACGATCTTTCGCCTACGAACACAACACATTCCACTGAATTCATACCTAAATAGGTATCCGCAAGGACACCCCACCTGACTGCCCGTTGTGTGACTGCCAGGATGAAACAGTATCACACCACCTCATAACCTGCCATGCGCTTAGCAATCTGCGTGGTACCTTTCTTCCTGCCTCCCCAGATATTGCAAATACTCTATACAACAACAAAACACAGCTGATAAAAACTTGGAAATTCTTTTCCATATCGACGGGCCGAAGGGCCAGAACTCAGATGGTCGCTAGATCGGAAAAGTAAGGTAACGTTAAAAGAAGCAACACGCTATCAGACACACAGACGAAGACATGGGGCGTGTGGCGTGTGGGTGAACACTTACAAACTGCCGCTGCGGTTTATGGTTTCCAGAAGAGTTCCCGGAGTGAGTAGTGAACACGGTGTTTTTCTGTGCTCTTCTTGTGTTGGTGTTGTCGTTGGGGCGTGGAGCTGATCGCACTAAAAACGTGGCTGGGGGGGGGGGCAATGGTGAAAAAAAGTATAACCCTCATGTCTTCTGTCTCGCATCATCCCAATTACAACCGGCTGTTTACTGTTCCTGAAAGAGGTAACTGCAACCCCACTCTCACCTGCACAGTGACCCTGTAACTTCAAACGTCACATTGCAACTTCAAACGTCACATTGTAACTTTAAATGACACATTGTAACTTCAAAGGTCACATTGTAACTTTAAATGGCCCAATGATTAGTTTAGTTTAGTAAGAGTTTACGGCACTCGCAACTGCACAAGGTCATAATATGAGCGCGTGAAACGCAGGTTGGTTGCATTCACAATAATGAATAGTTGTTGTCTTTGGTCAATAATCAGATTCAATTATTTAAAATATTTTGGTAAAAACTGTTTGCTGTAAAAACAACAGCAATTTACATTTAATTAAAACAACAATATATCTACATTTTACCGTAAAGGTCATGGACCTTTATAAAATCGAAGATTCTGTTGAGATCAACAATGGAGAAAAAATCATTCAATTTCCTACGTGTATAATGTTTTCTTCAGATCACTCCAAACCCCGAACATTCAGTTAATACGTATCTGGTGGCAAAGTCCGTATCACATCCGACAAAGAAGGGTTTCTCTTCGCCGTACAGGAAGTTATATTGTTATGTCAAAGATGGTACATAACAAGATTGTTCACTCCTCTTTTTGAGCCAGTTAAAAAAGTGTATTCAAAACTCGTCGGCGCCCTCTTCAAAAAAGTTCGGACTTTGCGAACAGAGTTATCCTACCTGTGTGAAAAACAACTAGAGGGAAACTAACAAACTGTGCTCTTCCTATTCTTCTTCTGGAGAAATGAAAGAGAGCTATAAAAAAAAAAAAGAGCAGCACCATCTGAATCAATGCGCGGACTTCCACGGACACTTTTTTTTTTGCTGCGCGAACAATCTTGTTATGTACGATCTTTGATTATGTGTCAAGGGGGTATGTCCGATACGTAATCGAGTGAATAATACAACTTCATCTCTGCTGGAGAGGCCCGACGGTTTTCGTGGGCCCAGTTTGGGCATGATACTGTGAAGTTTATTGTTTATTTGGTTACTCCAAAGCTTTTCATTATGATGTCATGCGCATGCAGTTTTCCTTTTTAGATGTGAAATCGTTTTAAAGTTCAAGTATTACATTATTACTGCGGGGGCTCTCGTGGCCTAGAGGTTAAGGTGTTGGCCTCTCATTCAAAGGTCCCGGGTTCGAATCCAGGTAGAGACCAAAAAATTTTCTTCTGTAAAATTGTCTCCTTTCACCTCCTTTTCTGTTCACTAGCAATGTTCTGTTGTCTGCTTTCATTTCCACTTTCTGCCCCCACCCCTCACCTCCTTTGCCCCCCTCCTCTGGGCTCCTGACTCTTTCTACAGCTTTTCTACTGCTACTCCTTGGCTCCTCCTTACTGCTGTCTTTCTGCCACACCCCTGATTTTCTGGTAGGAAAGATCTACACCTAGCCTTCTCGGACAAGGGCGAAAAATCTCAGTTGGTGGTCTAAAATCGATAAGAGTAGGCTTCGGCGCCACCCGGGCAAAATTCAAAAATGTCCTACCAGCTGAAAATATTAGGTGTGCCCCGCGCGCTCATATGACCTTATGCAGTTGCGAGCGCCGTAAAACACTTACCAAAAAATGCCACAAAAAAACAACATTGTTACTGCAAATTATGTTAAGGAACGGTGGAATCAGGCGCTCGACAATTTTTGGACATGTGGAGTTATTGGCATAATCTTAAAGCTTGTTCCGCTCTCTTGCTTTTGGTGAAAACTACCCCGCCTATCTTTTATACAAGTCGAGATATTTGCTATTGAAGTAGGTAGGGGTCAACGGGTGTCAAAGACAAAATTGAAGATGCAATGTGGTATTTGAAAATCTAAGCGTGAATTTGGTCGAAAAAAACCCTATAATTATCATCATCATCATCATCATCATCATCATCATCATCATCATCATCATCATCATCATCATCATCATCATCATCATCATCATCATCATCATAATCATCATCATCATCATCATCATCAGCATCATCAGCATCATCAGCATCATCATCATAATAATGATAATAATAATAATAATAATAATAATAATAATAATAATAATAATAATAATAATAATAATAATAATAATAATAATAAAAATAATGTTTCTGTTGTGGTTATTGTTGTTGGTGTTATTGGTGTTGTTGTTGCCGCTGTTGTTTTTGTCACTGTTGTTGTGTTGTTGTTGCTTTTGTTGTTTTTGTTTTAGTTGTTGTTTTTGTTATTGTTATTGTTGTTGTTGTTGTTGTTGTCGTCGTCGTCGTTGCTGTTGTTGTTGTTGTTGTTGTTGTTGTTGTTTTTGTTACTGTTGCTGTTGTTGCTGTTGTTGTTTTTATATATCCTCCTGTCGCCTATTGTCTACAAAGCAGGCCTAACCGACTTAGCGGCTGACAAAAGGAACTGTATTTCTCTACCGTATCAAATTGCACTGTCTTACCTTTGCTAGCCATACTGATTTTGTCAATACTGTAACACACGTAGACTTCCACAAAGAGCCCGAACGTCGTCTCTCCCGAGAGCGCTCTGGTGTCTGGCTTCCTCGCCTCTTGTCACTGCCTTTATATTTAATACTTCGTGGGGGTGGTCCCATTACAGACGACAAGCAACAAATAATATTATTGTAAAGAGGAAGTAAAATAATGAACCAACCCAAGTAAAGGCACTTTGCAGATGTACCAATCAGAGACACGTGCACGTACGTGCACACACACACACATACACATGTACACACACACAAACACACACACATGTACACACACACACACACACACACACACACACACACAAACACACAAACGCAAACAAACACACATACATACACAAACAAACACACATTTTATATAATATACAGTCAAACATGTGTTAAACGGCCACCCATTGTTAAAGAGAAATGTGGCCGTATAATAACAGCGGTGGCCGTCTTAGGCAGGACTGATCAAAATGAAGAAAGCAATAAAACCATTCTCTTCTGAGGTCCAAATCGGGGCTGATCTAGGCTTTGGACTGTTGTTGTTGTTGTTGTTTTATTGGTTTGTTTGGTTGTTATTGTTGTTGTTGTTGTTGTTGTTGCTGTTGTTGTTGTTTTGTTAGCTTGTTTTGTTGTTGCTGATCTTTTGCTAGGGTAAAATACGAAATATTATGTAGAAGATGAAGACCGTGTGCCATGGTAAAACAAACACACGGGTTGCCACCTCTCGGAGAACGAGAGGCGCTTCTGTCGCAAGTTTATGTCAATGTCCAATGTTACTTTGTTACAGATTAGGTAAACAAAACAGTGACCAGTCACCTCATACGTTGTGTATGAGTTATGGGCGGGGTTTACAGGTTATGACGAATCACACGCTTCCCTCACGAACAGTTGAAAATGTATTGTTACCCATTGGTCAACTTGGGTAAACATTCATAGGAGTGACTAACAATAACGAAAGGTGAATGAATACTGACGGCCCGTCCACAGCTTCAAGTGCCAATTCAAAATTTATGACAAAGCGTCGGGCGATGAGTGACCACGTCTGGCAGTCTGAGGCAGGTAAATGTTACCTTCATTTATTTTATCAAATAAGGTGGCCGCGGCCGCGTTGGACATGTAACCGTTTTACACAGTTAAATTATATAGGAAAAAAACGTAAGGGGGGAATGGTTAGTGGCCGTTTGTACAGATGGCTGTATTATACAGATTCGACTGTATATGTATATATGAGATGCAAACCCCACTACATCCATTTTAGCACTTTTGAGAAAATCAGCTTTTTAAAAATGTTTCTATACGCACAAACTGATTGCAGAAAGTATAACATTGAGTGGTTGGGAGCTAGTCTACCAAGATCGGAAGACTGACTTTAAAAAAATGAATAATGATTGAAATAAAGATGTGGGCTATGAAAATGGTAGTGATTTGTCAAAACCAACTATATCCCGGAAAAGTCCCCTGATGCCTTGCGTAACTTTTTTTGCTCTAATTACAGGCACAGTAATCCTCTCACAACACTTAGCCTTCACAGGACAAAGGATTTTTTTTGCCTGCTGGTAGAGGGTAAAAGCGGCTTAATCCACCTTGGGTAAAGTGAGCTGTCTCTATCAAACATAATAAACAGGCTGATGTTTTGGGCTGAACAAAACTACTGTTTACACTAATATTGTCGACGCCCTTTTGAAGAGGAAGTCATGTGACAGGATTGGGAAATTTCATTGGCTGATAAAGAAAATTTGAGGATGTCTGTATCTATCTAAAATGTACCTATCTATCGATCTATTTCTCTCTCTCTCTCTCTCTCTCTCTCTCTCTCTCTCCCCTCTCTCTCTCCCTCTCTCTCCCTCTCTCTCTCTCTCTCTCTCTCTCTCTCTCTCTCTCTCTCTCTCTCTCTCTCTCTCTCTCTCTCGTGAATTGTTGTCGTTTCGAGTGGCATTAAGGAATTCGTATCGTTTTTTTATACACCTCCTTCCCTTCCTACCCCCCCCCCCCCACACACACACACACACACGCACGCACGTGTCAGTAAGCTCGGCGAAAAATAATAAGAGCAGGACCAGGAGTATACAAGGAAACAAGCCATCACTTTAACTCACCCAGAACGTAAAAGTAAAGCTCTCCAAAACAAGTTTTTAAGGGGACATTTGAAAAGAAACACAACTTCCTTATTAGTACAGATGATCTAACTCTACTTTCTTTATCTGATCGCTTTATCCGTTTTCTTTACCTGAAAAGGGGGCTCTTGTGGCCTAGAGGTTTAAGGTGATCGCCTCTCTTTCAAAGGTCCCGAGTAGCGACGGAAAAATGTTCTTCTCTAAAACGTTCTCTTTTCACGTTCTTTCCTGATCTCTAGCAATGTTCTGTGGTCTGCTCTCGTCTCCACCTTTTGCCCCCAACCCTTCACCTCATTTGCCCCCTCCTCGCTGGGCTTCTGCGACTCTTTCTGATGCCTTTCTACGGCTACTCCTTGGCTCTTTCTTACTGCTGTCTTTCAGCCACACCCCTGATCTTCTGGTGGGAAAAATCCACACTCCACACCTAGCCTTCTAGGACAACGGGCGAAAATTCTCGGAGGTCTCGTGTGCAATTTGTGCATGTTAAAGAATATAATTATATATATATATATATATATATATATATATATATATATATATATATATATATATATATATATATAATTATATTATCTGAAGCATACAAAGGCAGCAGGTAACGACATGCATAATTTGAAATATACAAAGTGAGTCAGCGTGGTGAAATCAGACTCTTGTCAAAATAATGAGGGTGAAGGAATTGGCATTTTTACTGCAGGTTTAAAATTTTATCAAATTTTTGTTTTTTAGCTCAACACCTTTCAGATCCATTAAAGAACACATTTCTTAGTGGGTCTTACTGAAAAACGTTGATTAAAATTAAAGGCACAAAAAATGTAAATTTTCAGTTTTCAGGGACTCTCAAGCTAAGGAAATCAGGAGTGGGTGGCTCTACAGTGACTGGAGAGCTTCCATTGCAAATAGCCATCTCCTAAGAATTACAATGGTGTTCTGCCCTGGTCATGCCGGGGTGCACGGAAATGAGCGTGCTGATGAACTTGCCGGCAAAGCAGCACCCAATGGCCGAATCATGCTCGACCCACCAATGGTGATAGCCAGATGCAAGGAGAGCCTTCACAACCAAGAGGAGACAGACTCCCACACACTCAGCACAATAAAAGAAAAGTGTGTTCGGGGCACAGCGAAAAAAGTTTGCCCCGAGAAATGGTCACGCGTGTCTCAAACCAGCTCCTCATGGAGACAATTTTAGCAGGAAGACCCTGAGGTGGACGCTGGAAAGGAGAGATGAGCAGCTATGGACATGTGCCGCCTGCTATGATTCTAGCTCTGGATCCAAGTAAATCCAAGTAAATCAAGTTAAGGAAATTACTTAATTTTGCTTTACTATTTTTACCTCTGAAACCAGGTAC